ATCTTCGGAGAAAGTCGGTTTCTGTAGAAAATGAATCAATGAGAATTCACGAGTATTGCGAATCGTAATAAAGTTATCCGATCTATTTGTTATCCGAGATCTATCTCAGCTATTATCAAACGAAGTTATCGAGACCTCGCTCGAGGCAATTATTTAATATCAGAGCGATAGAGCCTCTCGGCGTGCGTCTATGATGCAACGCTCCTGACAAAAATGTCGGAAACTTTTCAGCTATCTTCAGCTTCTTCAGGGACCAGTTTGTAAAACGCAAAAAGAAACGATTTAATTGTCAAGTTGTATACATTGTAACACGACACCTGTGACCATCAATCGCGTATGACGAAATTTCTCTTTATTTTCGTGAGATTTTACAGTGAATTAAGTACTGCTATTAATTATTCAATAATGGAAGAACATGCTTTACAGGTAATTAATCAATTTGTTATAATAATTGATCACTGCTCGTTACGTTATAATTAAATATTCTTCGTTATAATTCTGTCTATAATGTTTTTGATTGAAAGAGAAAAACTGAATGAAAACTGCATATGTGTAAACATACACATTTGTGTCAGTACTCCTGTCTATCTAATCTAAATCTGAGTCTGAATTTGAATATCGATCTGCATCTTCATTTGGATCGTAGTTTGAAATAAATAGTTTTATAGATATAAATATTAACAGTTTAGAACAAATACCGCGAGAAATCTCAATATGAATGTTAACAGTTTAGAGTAAAGACTCTTAGTTTAGAGTAAATGATCGAATCAATATTCGCATTAAACTCGTATAACCCAGCGTTTTTTACTCCTTGCGTTTAAATCAACGAATTCTCTGACACTTTCGTCCTGATATCGGAGTATCTACGAGGATCGTCCGAACGAGCCGATCGAACGTGTGAATCGTGTGAAATCAGCGCGACTGCTTTGAAATTGGGTCAAGATCTTCGCGTACTCTTATACGTAACAACCGGTCGCTATATAAAACGCTATAAGGATTCCGTATCAAGCTTGCTGATCTTACTACGCTATGCTAATCGGTTCGATAGGAAACTACAGAGCATTCTGCCTTTATCTAAACGAGGGTGTGGTTCTTAAACAGTGGACATCGGTACATGTATACAGAGTGTCTCATTTTAAATGAGCCAGGCAAAAATCTCGAAAAATATGAAACATATTAAGAAACGTTTCAGACAAAAGTTGTTGTTATTTTCTTAAACGGAAATCCCAATTTTTTATTATATCATCTTTTTCTACCAATTAATTTGAACAACTTTTGTTTGAAACATTTTTTTATTTGCCTAATATTTTCTGAAATATTTAAGGAAAGTTTGGTAACTTTTTCAGTATTTAACTTACGATATCTCGCTAATTATTTGTCGGAACCCTGACTTTTGTTGATTTAATGATTTTGAAAGTTCCAAAGATCGATACGTTAACAAAAGTTAGGGTACTATGTTCTTGAGAGAGTGACGCCATCTATAAACAAAATGATACAGTTGTTTCATGTCCCATTTGAAACCATACAACTTTTGTGTGAAACGTTTCTTAGTATCTTTCATATTTTTCGAGAATTTTGCCTGACTCATTTAAATAGGACATCCTGTATATTCCCAGTAGACAAATGTATGTAAATTTGGCAGCAACTTTACTGACTGATATATGTAAAGCTTATATCTTTTATGAATGCTTCGCACAATAAAGTACACCATAGAAATTATCAGAATTTACTCAAGTTTTTTCTCGGAGCTGAAGAAAACTCAAGAACTCAGAATTGACTCAATTCACGTCATGCGAAATATAATAAGAATATTTGAGATCTGAGAACTTTTACTGAATTGTTTGCTACATTAATGCAACAAGAAACTTACATTTTTGTACGTTGTACACTTAATGATTAACTAATATGTACTTGCTTCATAAATATTGTTAAAAAATTTGCCAAGTTTCTATCGTAAATTGCGTCACGTCGCGATATTCACGAAAGTTTACCTAGGCTTAATTGTTACATTAAAAATTCAATTTTCATTAGAGATACGCGGTAAAGGAAACTGGGTCGTACTAAATGTTCAAGTAAAAACGGCACACGACACACAGTTTCAAAAGCGAAGATCGTGGCGCACGACACTTACAATAAAAGCAAGTACATAAGAGAGGAAGGAGTAGTACAGCGCTTTTCTCGTTAACTAATGCGAGAAGTATCTACCAAGTGGAACGGCGCACAAGCTCCGCCAGGATATGAGCGGGGATAATTTGCAGTGGCCTATGAGGAAAGTTTATAAATACCGGTCCGCGACGAAGGAACTGTCTGAGGGAGAAAAATTGATGAATAGAGTCTAATGGAAGCGTGCAACGAGATGGAACGTCGCTCCTGAAGAAGATTCATGTGGACAAAGACGAATTTTATCTACTTTTCGACGAATCAACACGAACGAATTGTCATTCGCTACTGTAAGACAGTGCAAAGCAGAAACAAGCATGCGCGCGCAATCGGGAATCAAATTTATATTATCGAAAACTAGAAATATCTTAATCAGTCGACGAAAGCCAAACATTAGCTATGATGAACAAGAAAACAACAAGCTTAAATGTGATAAATAAAAAAAATGTAAACAAGATCTCAATTAATGAGGAATATAAGTACAAACGTTTCAGTCTTATTTTATATTAGTCTCTTTGGACCAATATAAACAAATTAATGCAGAAATTTTCTATCATAATCAATTTAAAATTTATTAGAGAAGAATGGCTATTTTTCTATAAAATTGTAAAATATTTAAATATTAGAAAGAATTTAGAAAAGGAAGTGATTGGATAATTCTCTCCTTTTATTTATTTTATTTGTACAAACATAATGAACTTCTTGCAAATCTAATATTAGAAATATTTATGAATAATCAAATATTTACTACAAAACTCTTAAGTTTCTTGCTTTTATTAGTTTTTATTTGAGTTGTGTACTATATTGAACGAGTGCCAAAATTTTAATGAATTCCTCAAAGATGTGACTAATCCAGTTTTACAGTACAGTACTTATAGATAAAATAATAGAAAACAATGATTATTTAGTAAAACGAGAATAAATGATTTTTAATAAAATTACTTATTTCATACACATTTCTCTATCACGAAATCTGTTGAAACTTTTGCACTCATCTCAATATAAACCATATTTTTTTAGTGTGCTTTTTGTATATAAATAAATAATATTCAATGTATATCATTGATTAAAACATAAAAGTTTCCCTATGGACTTTTAGATACATCTTATCTTAAAGTATTTCTTATATTGAATATTGAAATTTTATATTGATCTGTGAGTTATATTTTTATTCGTATCATATTGAATTATATATTTAATCGATCATTGTTGAGTTAAATTATATTTTTATATTGAAACGAAACTTTATCACTTGGACTATCTTTAATATATTTTTAGTTTCCGATTGTACATCTTATAAGACTCATTGCTTTGTAATATCTATATTGTTCCACTGTCGATTCTCCCCGCTCCGGTGTTCTATAACAACGCTGAACAATTAGCACAGAACAAATGTACAGCGATGGCCGGCGGCGATATTATATTTCGCGCGCTAACTACTGCTCTCTAATTCAGGAAGTAACTATTTAACAATACGGCGACCCGGCGCATCTCATACTCCAAGTGCTTTCGCCCCGCGGGCGATCGATAACGATATTAATAGAAAACACTGCGCGCGAGTGCGTTTTCGAAAACTCATACGGGATGGCCTAATTTCGATTTCCGCCCTAATCCACCGTCATAAAGTATTGCCGTTATAAATGCATTGCTTCCGCGGCGGAAATATCGAACGGCTCCTGTACCGTTGTATCGTCGTAATGATTAAACGTTGATTAACGGCTTCGCGCAACTGGATTTTACAGAGCGATAAATCCCCCTTACGAGGCGACGATTCACGAAAATCGCAATCGGCAGGTGGACTCGATACGGGCGGAGAAGAAAGAAGAAGCAACACTCTGCGAAATTAACTATTCACGGGGCGAGTACTCCGGTATGCCGAGGAATGGTAGATACGCGTCACACGATGGCCGAGGAAATTCATCCCCTTCGTCGTCGTCGGATTTTCTATGCGCATACTTCGCCACGAACAATTCGTTGCCGAAGCTAACGTAGTTTAGCTAAGGCAACGGTTGGTACGTTGGAACGGTGGAGTACCAGTTAATTACGAGCGCTTGAGAGCGGCCAATTATTCAACCGTGCTGCTTAAGTCGAGAGGCCCGATCATAATTAAATCAGTCACTCTGATTTTACGGTGACACACATACGCACACACACACGCATACACGCACACACGTACACGTACAGGCGTAAAAAGGCGTAATGTTTAATTCATCAGCATCCTCCGTCCGTTGAACTGTCCGGTCGCTCGTACTCGAAATTCGACCGATCGATCGTTACGGCGGGATACGACACTCACTGGAAAGAAGAAATGTTCGGTATTTGTAACTATAAGCGAATAGTGAAAGAATTATAGTCGGGGAAATCATTTCTCCGGTGAATGTTATTTAGCACTAGAGTTACCGACAATTAACACAACTTGTTTCTGCCGGTGCAGTTCGAATGACAGATTCTCGAAAAGAAACGTCGTGGAGAAACAAACGTGTTTGTTTATTTCCTTTGGTTTCATCCAACGTCTCGTTAAAAGCAAAAACGTTCATTGAAAATATCGTTGACTGCCGTTCTCACGTCCAAAGTGCAAGCTCACAGAGTTCTGCCTTCTCAAGTCGTTTTCTCAAGTGCGTAAGTTCGCGGATGCAACCGCTGTCTGTAGTCTTCACATTCACGTATGTTAACGAACTCAAGTGTAATCTGCTACTCTTGTGGTCCCAACGAGAGTATCTGGTTACCGTGAAGCAAAGCGTCCGACAGACGGCAGTTTCCGTGTGAAACGGCTGGTTAAATATTGATAAATTGCAACACGCCTTTTGATCTGACTGATAAGCGAGCCGCGTTGTGTTTAGGATCGGCGATCGAGAAGTTATGCGAGTGCGCCATGGAGGACAGCCTGGCTGATCGAGGCTCCGTCGTAAGAGCTGCCAGATGTCTTCTAGGCTCGGTGACACGAGTTCTCCTTCTGGCAGACATCGTCGTGGTCAAGCAACTGCTTCTCGCCAAGGATAAGGTCGCCCGTAGCCTCGGACGTCTCGAGAGCGTCTCCAATTTCACCGAATTCGTCAAGGCGTTCAGCCAATTTGGAGCGGAAATGGTCGAATTAGCGCACTTAACGGGCGATCGTCAGGTAAAACTTCATTTCCCGCTCTTCATATCGGCGCTAACGTTTCATCATTCATTTGTCAACAAGGGTTCTACCGTGCGCAATTAGCTTCTATAATGCAATCAAGACAGAAAAAAGTCTAAAGAAGAAACAATCTTGAAATCTTTTAATCGGCGATATATATATCACCATTTCTTTTTATGCTTTTTCCCTTATTAAAACATTGCAAACTTGGTATGAAGTTGTAACATTTCATTTAAACTCGAATATAAAGAATTAATGAACACACATTAGTAATGTTTTTCAGTATGATATTCATTAAAATATTATCATTTACAAAGAAATGCAAAACAAAATTTACACTGTGAAGAAATATCTAAAAAGCAAAAGAATATTTATTCAGTGAATGTTAATAATAAATTTAAAATTGGTTTTATTTAAACAGGACAAACAATTTATTTTTCACGAAAAGCTACAGCTTAAGAAAATATACATTTTCATATTTAAACAATATATATATATATATATATATATACATATACAGGGTGTTTCATTTTAAGTGATATGGTCGATTACCTCACGAATCGATGATTTTATTGAAAAATATTTCGTACAAAAGTTATATGACTTGAAGGGGGACACATGATGGAAATATGGACTTGATCTTGAGTGACCTTATCAAAATCAAGTCAAAGTCATTAATGTTTTTTTAAACGGAAACCCCTATTTTGTATTACATATTCTCGTAGCTTATCTCGAGAGTTTTTCAAAACATTATAATAAAGTTACGTTTCGTTGAGTACTTTCCGAGTTATGAGGTTTGAAATTTACAGTACCGCCGGCATTATCCATGTACGCATGCGCATGTAAGCGGGATTCTTACGGGTTGAGGCTATGTCTGCAAGAAAATGGAGCTCCATTTGAACATCTTATTAATAGCTAAAGACATATTCGAATTAATCTTGCCTTAGCTGGCCGGATCAGTGATCGGTCTTGCTTTAACTTTCAAGCCTCATAACTCGGAAAGTACTCAATGAAATGTAACTTTATTATAGTGTTTTGGAAAGCTCTCAAGATAAGCTGCAAGAACATGTAATCAAAATAGGGGTTTCCCTTTAAAAACATTAATGACCTTGACCTGATTTTGACAAGCTCACTCAAGGTCAAGTCCACATTTCCATCATATGTCCCCCTTCAAGCCATGCAACTTTCGTTCAACAGTTAAGGCATTGGTCAATGCTTTGTCTTGCCTTAACTGGTCGGACAACGTTTGGTTTTGCTTTAACAGGCTGGACAGTATCACAGTCTTACTTTCAGATCGTTTTTAAGGATTTTTGAGGTCCTTTTTGTGGTTTGGGAACAACTGTGACGTTCCAGGGTGATCGTAGTATATAATTTAGACTCGATGAACCAAATACTAGTATTAGAATCTATTTTGAATGGCTCTGTATCCAACACAGTATCGGGATACCCGCTTTTGATCGTTTTTAGAGGTTTTTGAGCCGTTTTTGGGGATTAGGTAAGAATTGCGACGTTTAAAGGCAATTCTGGTCTTAGATTCGGATTTAGCGGATCAAAATATATGAGCTATTGTATTTTCTGTTGAAAATTCGGAGTTTCTCATGATTTGATTGATAATATATTATGGTTCTCGTGCGTCTTTCGGTATATTTAGTGCCATCTGGAAGCCACCACTTTGAATTTCCGGAAAGGCCATATTACTTCTGAAAGTATTCGAATAGACAAACAATTCAAGCCCTCACACGTCCCAATCCGATGCATCAATTTTTGAGAGCACCGGTGATCTGGTTGACGTGGAACGTCGCACATATATGATTTTTTCCGACTATTAATGACACTTGCGATACAAATAGATCACATCTAAACATGCAAGTCCTGTTACCATTTTGCAAATTTCGTGCAATTTAATTAACACGTCCCGTACGTCCGTTGAACTTTCCACTCAGGTTGTTTGATATCAAAACGAAACATAATAGTGTTGGGTGAAAGAAAATAAATTACAATGTAATAATTTAAGCAGTCACGGCAGAAACGTTTTATACATTACGAGAGCTACGTACAAGAGAATGTGAAACATGAGAGTTCTCGGTTAATCTTATATTTCTGTCTATTTATTTAGCTTTTAACAAGGACAATCAAACAATCTTTGTCCGTTTCAGATCCTGATGCAAATATCAATATAGGTTAATTTATCTTTTTTCCAGCGTTATCTTCAATATAATTCAATAAATTCTCTCGCAGCGGCATATACAATGAAATATTTCTGCAATTATTATAAGACACTTATATTATTTGGCGAATAAAATTTAGTCAATAATACGAATTAGTCCGACGTATGGAATGTGTAAGGAAATATATTAAATAATATTAGTACACATGCGCGATCGATTCAGACGAAACGAACGATTCTGCAAACGACTTTATCTATGATGAATCGAATCTATTGATTATTTCCTAATAATGGCAGCTATACGAGGTATTGGACTACATGATTCTATTATCAATAGTGTTTATCTGTAAATAAACGTTACATCATTAATTATTGGATTTCCGGTATCGGAACGCTTCCGTTGCTATAATATTCCGTCAGCTTTCTTATCCCAACGGAATCCAGAGAATTGCATTGATTAAGGAGAATGTTTTCCTTTATGTTCATTATTATTATATATTCCGTTATTTATTTCGAGCGGATTTAATCGACATTAATTATAGATGATATCCGTACCTTTTATGTTTGAGTCACATCAAAGTGTAATAAATGAACATAAAATCCCCTATAAATTACGCGTGTCGTTAGAATTGTTAACTGTGGTACGATGTGGTTCCCTCTTAGGCACTATTGTCAACCAGAAACCACCCTCTGACTTCATGTTGAAGCCATCTTTGGCTATCTTGATCGGTATCGATGTCTTCTCACAAGGTAGCACGTCGCAACGCGTCAATCAGTGGAATAGTAAATAGTAAGAGTCTTCACCTCCAACAAGAAGAATCGAACGACTAGGCACATCCTGGGACCCAAACCGAATGGCAGATAAGTCCCGGTATTGAGGATGTGTTTCTTCTGCTCGCCGAGAAATCATTCAGGATCGGACTTGTCCGACTCTTTGAAGTACTTGGGGTACTTCAAAGTAGATAGAGTTCATAAATTGGTATCCACACGGTTTGCTCTTTCTTTACGGTGAATGGTTTCACGTCTGATAATGCTGGTGGCAATTCGAAATCTCTCTGACATAATCTATCGGTTACAACGATGACTGGATATATCCTGAGCGTCTCGTTCACCACAGCGTACTCCATGCTATTGATCGCTTCATACGGCGTTAAGCCATTCGTGTCTTCCAGCACTTGGTCGATCTTGCTTTGCAGTCTCCTCCGTACATCGTCATTCACTGCGATTTCGTGCGCGGCGAAACACATCAACGTCGAGCAGCTGTCGAAGCCGGCGAAGAAGAAGTCGAAGGCCTGGATATCAGTCATATCTTCAATCGTTATTTCGTCTTTCCTGCCTCTACTCTCCATCATCAGCTGTATTATGTCCGGCCGGACGATACCCTTCTCCTCTCTGGTCCTGATAATGGTCTCCACAAAGTTCTGGAAAAACATGGCGACTTTCTTAGGCATTATCTTTATGCCTAATGCCCGCGCCAGTCTGGCAATGGGTGCGCTTCTCAGTATAACAGTCTACCAGAAGGCGACGATGTTGAAAACCGTATACTCTCTGCCATATACGTAGAAGAGGTTTTCTGGATCCCGCAAGGAGTCAACGCTGACGCCGAAGGCGCAGCTGATAATCACATCGTTGGTGTAGTGCGTGAAGATGTCCTTCATCTCCATTACCCTCTTGTTCGGTGGCAATTGCGTATGGAAATTGGCGTATGGAAATTGGCAAAGTCGATAGCACAGTTGGACATCAGTTTGAACATGCTCTTTATTTTACTGGATGTGAAAGTCGGGCTCAACCTCCCGCCACCTGTCGCCGCTGAGAGAAATGATAAGAAATGATAAAGCCCCAAGGCACCTACTATCATCGACAAGATAATTACATACGCCATATCGATGAGATTGTCGTTTTAAACTGAATACGGCATCGTGTAATATTCGAGAGTAAATAAGTCTGTCGATTAGGAGGCTATTGAAATCTTCGATGTTTTCAATGTGCACTTATATAGTCGTGTATTCTATTTACGTCTTTACCGATTAGCTGTGAAAAAACGAATGAGACAACCCGGACAACAAGAAGCCGGAGCAACTTGGCACAGTTGCTACCGATTGATAGAGAGCAGTCTGTGCTACCACTCTGTGATATCTCCCACAAATACATACGCTCACCCAATCATTCTTGACCTAATATCTGCTAGCAGATATGCTAGTAAATATCTGTTATGCCAAAAATAAGATGGCTTATCTTCGGCGATATTGGTACGGAAGGTCTTTGTATGTGTTAATAAAACACATTATTGTTTTTACTTGTGTGTGAGATGCGTTTCGTCATTTTACTTATTTGGTATTAAGATTATCAACTTGGTAGCAATTAATATCATATAGGAAATTAGATGAATCATAATAATTAATAAGTTGATTGCCGAGTATATCTTGCTGGTTTCATCTGCAGCAGCGAAGAGAGATTGTCCACATGAAAACTAAATCATGATAAAATATTATACAATATGATTATATTGCGCAAAATTATTATATATAGTGCATTAATCTCGCTGCCGGTCATACCACGGCGTAGAAATATATCTAAGAGAGCCTCCTAAGAAGCGGTCGTGAACGTTCGGAAAACCAAAGACCTCGATTCACATTCATCCGATTCACAGTGTGTCAATTAAGATTTAACACACTCGCTATCAACTCGTGTTTCACGAGAGATTAATGTCATATATCTGTGATAGCACTAATTTTTCCTATTTCATTCACGTAAACGAGCTTTATTTTGCACCGTTACATAAACAAAATGCAGGGTAGTTGCACAGACGGTTTCCGCAGTAAACCATGAACGATGAACATGTTAATTAGCGTCGCCTTCCCTTCCTCAGAACGATCTGAAGGACGAGAGACGACGTGCGCAGATGGCGGCGGCTCGACAAGTACTGGAGAGAAGTACCATGATGCTGCTCACGTCCAGCAAGACGTGTCTGAGGCATCCCGAATGTCCATCCGCGAAGGAGAACCGAGACACCGTCTTCTGTCAAATGAGAAGGGCGATGGATCTGATACATTACGTCGTCAAGGACGGTGTATTGGATTGCAGCGAGTCGCAGTCCTACTCGAATTCGCAGGTAAGCCATCTGTGCATTTCACGGATCAGATTGTATCAACGGCCGCGAGAATTCCTCGGCGAGATATCATCGTTAACATTCATTACAGAGAGTAATTAAAATCGCGGCTTTACGAGATATTATCTCCTAGGAACGATTATTACTTTCTACAACCCGCCATCGCCGTTGTGTGAAATTAATTTACGGGACCGTGCATTGCTCGTAAATAGCGACGCCGAGCGATCAAGGAACAAATACAATAATAACACCCAAAAAAAGTAATATTAGAACAAGCGGAATCATCTAAATATAATATTAGAAAATTTTATTCTTATATATAGCCTCAAGAGGATTCTTTCAAGATTAAGAGGAAAATATTATAAACATATTCTTAAAGTTAGAGAGATTATATGTATAATGCAAATCTTATTGATTTTAATATAAATTTCCTCTTACACAGATTATTTAATCTTTTTTGGTTATTACTAGTTAATTTAAAAACAATTATTATAATGTATAGCGAAAAGTAATATATATATATATATGTACTTCTGGCTCCAGTTCTACAATAAGTAGACATGAATGAAATAAGTTCATCACAACAAATAAATTTCCAATCAATTTTGTTATGGACTTCATAGCTACAAAGATATTCATCATAACGAATTATATGAAACATAGTTAAAAGAAAGAATATATTATTCAACTTCTTGCAGTAGATTATAAACTATATTTGACCAAATATGGGTAAATTATCTTCGTTATATGTTACAGCAATACACATACCTTTTTTAAGAAGCGTTCTAAATATTCTGATCCATGAGCATATGATTATTTTTTCATTGTTTGGAGGTAGAGCATGACTGAACAAAAGAAGCCGACATTTAAATCGATATATTCCTCCTCATATAAGAGGAAAATTAGTTGATATAAGAGGAAATCCTCTTGAAATAAGAGGAAAACAGTTAGAATAATATCTAATAAATTTTAGATGAATGGTTCACTTTAATCGCTTTATCGAAAGAGAAATTCTTTTTCTGTAAAAGGCTTCGTTTAGAATATGAGACTATAGGAAAAATCACTTTACAAATAGAATACTTTTTTTGTGTGTAATCTTTTGAATTCAGTTGCGATGCAGTGACGATTTTTTAAATTTCCCTGCGCAAACACATGTTCGGTATATAAAAGCTGCGAAACTTTTGTATCCAGCGAATCTTTATGTTAAATAACAGCTGGAGATATCAGTTTTGAAATTAGTTTATAGCATGCATATCACACACACACACACACACACACACACACACACACACACACATACCGAGCAACGGCCCAATTCAGTTTTGCACGTGCTTTCATCGAGTAAAAGCATTTTACGTGATAATTCTGTGCAAGCGACGCGACATAAAAGTCGCAGAAAATAGCAAGCGACGAGCAAGCCACGATAGCTTCGCGTCCGGCAAAATGGCTCGCCGAGAAATGCCGCAATAATTGCGGTTGGCAAACACGCCGTGTTGGCCAGTCGAGAACATCCATACGTCCCTCATTGTTCCGGTGCATCGAACACGCATATACGTCCATATTGTAAGGATCGATGGGAAAAGAGCCGTGTATAGAGCCGTGTATAGAGAAATATTTCCGGAAGCTTGGAAACGTTCCAAGAAGAGCATTTGTCCGCCAAATTGTGATTTACGAAACGCTCGCGCTAATGCGCGATATAAACGACCTTGGGCCGGCCGGTTTTGCCGATGCCCTTGCGAAAGTTGTAAACGAGATATCAAAACGACCCCCATATACCTCCCTCATGACTCGAGGAACCATAAATAATGGCGCGATGTCTGACCTAGCGTGAAATCGATAGCGAGGAGCACACGAAGATGGTGGTGGAGGGACCGGCGGAATATGCCCCGCGAATATCAATTACGATCACGACGCTTGTACAGTCGATTGTTTACGACGATATCACGACCTCGAGAAATTTATGAGCGCACGCCGTAACGGGTTTATTTTAAATGTCAATGTACGTGCTCGTGCGTACATGTTCCTCGTGCTTTTGACATCTTACTGTCGCGGCAAGGTTGTCGTTCGCGCCAGATATCAAAAGTATCCTCACCGTAAGCGACATATTGCGGAGCGTGGATTAAACAGGACGATAAAACGAAAAAATGGAGATCAACCCGGTGCACTGGGCGGCAACAAAAGAGGAGGAGGAGGAGGAGAACGGAGCTATATATATATAACGTGTAACGGAAAGTTACACGGAAGCGGAATGCACGCAGTGAGGAAAGTAGCGAAACCGGCGGTAAATGAGACCGCGAATTTCAGTCGGTCGGACGCGAAATTAAAATGGGACTACTTTGTACGACGGAGTGCTCGTAGTCATTGTCATTATCATCGTCGTCGTCGTCATCATACGGAAGAAGCATGGATTCACGACGCTACCCTCTGGAAAGAAACGGCTTGTGTGAACGGAATCGCAAATCGTACATCATGGCCGACGCGACATTTCTTTTAGGATTGGACATGCGCTGAAAATCGCGAGCAATTGCGACGTTCTGGCGGAGTATAGTGTAATTGCCAAGCGTATGATTCCGAAGCCAGGGTCTTATGACAACCCCGTCCGGCCGTTATATTCGAGAGAAAGATATATATATATATATATATAAATGGTGAGAGAGAGAAAGAGAGAGGAAGAGACAGAGGGAGGACGAGATGGACGAGACGGCGGTGGTTTTTACAGACGCGACGATAGAATCGCGTCGTCGGCATCCGTAAGTGGCGCCGAAACGACCGTAAAGATCGCGAATGGTTACTCGCGCCATGCCAAATTGCGCGATTTGCATATCGACGTTTCGACGTGTCGTACACTTTAATTCCGTGCTAAAGATTCCCCGCCGGCATAAACCTAAGAGAATATCTCGCGAGACGCTTTCTGCTCTCTGTTGCTCCCAAGGTGATGTTCCCGATTTTGGCGAGGAATCGACAAGAGAGAAAGAGAGAGAGAGAGAGAGAGGAGAGAGAGAGAGAGAGAGAGAGAGAGAGAGAGAGAGAGAGAGAGAGAGAGAGTGAGTGAATGAGTCGGGTCACGATGAAGGACCACACGAGTAACCACGCTAAAAAAATGTATATGGTCATCCTTATATTTTACACTTAAGTACTATTCACTTTCTCTCTCTTTCTCTCTGCGCGACGTAATCGATTCTGTAGTAATTGTAGACAAGCGGGCCAAAGTGGAACGCTCCGGAGTGTGAAATATCGCGAAAGATTCGACAAAATTCATGCCGATGTCTGTTATTTGTACGTTGTTAGCATGCCACCACATCGAAAAATTAGCAATAACTGCGATGTGAGTGAGTTATTTTCGGCGTGCAATTGTCTTTCTTGACGGTTGGAGTCTTTGACGGCTGAGGTTGCAATTGTCGCGGAGAATTTTATTTCGCAAGCTCCGAAGAGGAAAGTGCTCCGGATGACGAATAATTTTTTACGATCGCGCGATCTGTGCTGTTACTTGCAGAGTCCTCAGCAAGAAGACTGGGACAGTAGTACCGTTTGCTCGGCATTGAAACACTTCGAGAGGCTCGTTGAAACAACGAGGATGACCCTGCTGGGACCAGGCTGCCGCGAGACACTTACGTCGGCACTTGACACGGTGGTGGAGAGAACGCAGGACTTCACAGACAGCGCCTATACGAGCCACGAGCACAGAGAAAACATCCTCCTGCTTTGCGATCGCGCAAAGCTCGAGCTGAATACGCTGCTGCGGATCGGCAACAGCATGGTGAGTTGATTTTCCGACTTATATCTTGCAATGAGGATGCATAAAGCACCAACGAATACGAATATTGCGAAATTTAGTAATTAAAATGTAAAGAGAGAAATTCAAAATTGTTCTCTTTTTCACATCAAAATTTCTGCGTTTAACTCTCATAAGTCCTCATAATTTTAATAGTGATTTAGTCACGTTAAAATTAGTAATTAAGAGAGATTTATTTATTTAAATTCTTCCTAACTTTGCTCATTTGTCACCTGCTTGTTTATTTATTCATGTTTTTATGTAAATGTGACAATTATTTTCCATGTTCGTATTTTAATTTTTTTTCTTTTATAATTACATAACTGATATTACATAACTGAAGAATTATTTCATTAATAAATTTACTTATTTTTTTACTTGTTTATAAATTTAGTGGCTAAGATTAAAATGTTACTTTTATTAATAATAGTTATCCCAGTTATTTAATTATAATACTTTCATAGTTTTATTACTTGTTAGAAAAATTATCAACAATTTTTAAGGCCGCACAATCTACAGAGTCGAATGAGAAATTAGTGTGTAATCAGTCATACTCGTTAAGTGCGATCGGGTATTCCAACCGAGCGAGTAACCCGAGCGAGTAATAATCCCCTAATACGTCGAACGGTAATAAACGGTATGAAACGATAGACATCGTGTTCCGTCAGAATTACGAGGGCGGCGGGGGTTCACCCAGTTCGGAAATGGAACAAGCGGTAGTGGGTGTGCTACGGGCAACCAGAGACCTTCGCCAGCAACTCAGCACGACGACAATGGAACAAGCCGGCGATCTTGGACAAGTGACAAAAGCCGGCCAGGAGCTTGTGTCAACGATCAGAAATCTTGCGTTGGCCAATGACATCGACCGTCTACAAGAGAGCAGCGACAGGTTCCACGAATATATCGAACACATTCTCGAGGTGAGCTCCTCCGCAACGCGGCGCGTTCACGTGTCCATTCTCTCAATTTAAATGTGTAATTTAATAAACTTATATGTCATCAAATATGTCACTTTGATGTCAAATATCTCAGCTTCGATTCACGGTCAATCTTCTTCTAATTGTAAGGGATGTAAATTATGTTTCGATCAATATACTGTTAAAGTTTAAACAGATTCTTAAAAAAATTAGCTTACAGACCAATTTATTGAGTTGTTCGGAAAATAATTTCGGTTTTTGCATGAAAATGAAAGATGATATTTTTAATAGAAAGAAGTTTTATTCTATCAAGTATTGATCATTTTGTTCTAACCCCTTTTGCCATCTTTGACGTAATAACATGATTCCACGCTCGTAGAATTTCTAGTTCTTATTGGCAAAAAGAACTGATTTGAGTGGTTTTTGACGCCTATATTTGAATCGAAATTTTTACCATCCAGAGAATTTTTGCAGTGACCGAAACAAGTAATAATCGGATGGTATCAGATCAGGTGAATATGGTGGATGCGGTACGAAATCCCATCCAAGTACTTGCAGCTTCTGGCAAGTCATTAAGGGGCTACATACACTCTGGGGAATAAAAAAATCAATTTTTCAATTTTTACATTTTTTGTATCTTTGAGGTTTCTAGAATATTTCCCTAAGGTTTCAGTTAAAAATATATAAAAATGACTGAGATGCAGCCGTTTTTGTGTAAGCGCTCAACGCGCGCGTTCGTACGTTTTCCTGTGGCAGCTAGTTGCACGTGCATTGCACGTGTGTCTCTACAAAAACAGCTCGACTAGAACAAAAACTGAATAAAGCGGCTGCTGATAAGTTTCTGGATATTGAGAGTTTACTTTATGAACCAGGAGTCGATGATTCCGTTTAAAATAAACAATTTTGTCGTTCACTCACTTTAAATGTTACTTAAAATTTTATAGACGTATTTTTCTCAAAACCTTGTTTTGAAAATTGGTACCAAGAATTTCTCAAAAACTGCTGAACTGACGTTCTTGAGGTTTAACATGTCTATTCAACATACTGAAACGTAGGTAGCATCGTAGGGGTTTTTTTTATTTATACCTTTGTTCGCTTATAATTGTAATATTAATATTGTAAAAAAGTAGGCCTTAACATTCAAATATGTGCCATTTTGTTTAGAAGCAAAATTTTTGAAAACGGCTACGATGCTACCTGCGTTTTTTAATGTACTTTAAGAAAATATATGATTTTTTGCATTTCCGATACGTTTTATAACTCTTTTCTCTGATACCGATTTGCAGGTCGGCGCATGATGCCTACAATTCCAGCTCTTATACGTATTATAGCCATTTTGTAAGATTATAAAGCATAAAAAATTTGAAAATAATCTACAATGTTGATATTTTTTAATAAAAAAATAGCAAGTTAAAAGGACTTTACGTTTACGAGAAAAAAAATTGTAAAAAATGGCCTTTTTTTCAGGGCCAGAGTGTATGTAGCCCCTTAAACTTGTGTAAGGTCTGGCGTTGTCATGATGAAACACAACACCTTTTCTGTTTGTCAATTCTGATCTCTTTTACTTGACAGAATCATTCAATTTGTCCAATTGATGACAATACACATTCAAATCAATTGTCTGATTGTTTGGTAGCAGCTCAAAAAAAACTTCCTTTTCAATCCCACTAAACAGAGAGTATCATCTTTTTTTGATGGATATCAGCTTTCGATATGCTTTGAGCTGGTTCATCACATCTATTCCATGATCTTTTACGTTCAATATTGTTGTACATGATCCATTTTTCGTCTCCAATTATGAGTCGCTTCAGAAATGGATCGTTTACCTCACGTTTCCAACAGCAAATCGCAGATAGAAATGCGACGAATCAAATCTCTTTCTTTGAGAATGTGTTGGACCCAAATATCAAACTTTGAAACGAAACCAAATTATTTCAAATGCTCATATACGGTTGAATTCGATAAATTCAATCTGTCAACAGCTTCTCATGTTGTTAAACGACGATTTACGTTCACTAATGCCTTTACTTGGTCTTCATCAGCCTCAACTGGCTTTCCAGGACGTGATGCATTTTTGAGATCGAAATTCCCAGAACGAAATTTCGAAAACCAATTGTGACATTGACGTTCAATCGACATATCGTTTCCATACACGGCATATAATTTTTTTCTTGTTTGCGCTGCATTTTTGCCTTTACGATAATAGAAAAACAAAATGTGACGAAAATGCTCACGTTGGTTTTTCAATTTTGACGCGACACCAAACAAAAACAACTTGACAGATTTCAAAACGACTTTTTTTCAAATAAAGCTTGAAATGTGCGTTGTAAAAATGTAAAATAATTTTCTCGTTTAAAATGAGGTTGCCTGCTTAAAAAAGTAATTAACATCATCTATTTGAAAAAAACCGAAACTATTTTCCGAACAATCTAATACTTTAAGACACATTTGAAGCAAACTCGTATAGTCACATAATTCATATGCACAAGGAAATCAACCAAATCGTATGTCTAACATATAGGACACCCTATTACTGCAGAGCTTACGATTGCTTGATTTCCTTATGCATTATGTGATTACCCAAGTTTGTCCTGATTCTCTTAATCGAGAATCATTAGGAATCGCTATTTTCGTAGCAATAGGTGTATGTGCTTTACAATTCAACTTTTAATACCGGACCTACGTATGTACCCCACGCATCTCATTATTATCGTCTGTAGGTGTGCAAACTTCTCAGACACGTTGCACTCTCGGAATCGTTGCAAGTGTCGGCGAAGTTCACGGAAATCAACTTGAGAATATACGGCCCTCAAGTGGTAACAGCCGCGCACACATTGGCCAGGCATCCAACCAGTAAGATAGCCAAAGAAAATCTCGAAGGTAATCCGGACGCGCTGTCCCGATACGAATGAACCCCATTACTTCCCAAGCGGAAATTTTATAATCGATTGGTTTTTGGCTCAGAAAAGTGATAAGATCACATGAAAACTAATAACAAAATATGCTTTCCCACGTAAAAACACCTGATCTTTCAGAATCTGGAGTCATAATTTTGGAATTATCAACTGATAATTAAATATGGCGGCTCAAAGTTGACAAACATTTTTCCATCGACTATGAACTTTTTACCGTGGAGAACTTCGAAAAATTTTATCCAGAGCTGTCAGGGACAATTGAATTGACAGAGTTTGGCTACTCGAAGGATAAACAATGATTATTGATTCCATTTTTCAACTGATTCAAGATGGCGGATGCAATATGGCGTCCAAATATGGCGAAAATCATACTTCATTGCGATTTATATGTGTGAGTAGTCATTTCTTATGTTTTTGAGATCGCTAAACACGAATCTTAGATCCGTTTTCAATTTTGCAAAATGGCGGATGCAATATGGCGTCCGAGTGCCACGAGAATCATACTTCATTGCGAATTATGTGTGTGGGTACTCATTCCATATATTTTTGAGGTCGCCGAGACCATGATTCAGAAGAATGTTGGAACTCTTGACAAAATATATCTCAAAACTTATAATGAATTATGGAAGTTTTCAAAATATTCGTTGCATATGCTTTTCTGGCAAATATTGCAAAAAGTATTTGTACGTTCTACACTCACTTTCTATCTTTTTCTGTTTTGGATGCAAAAATAATTTTTGCGAAGAATGTTTCCAGGATATCCATGGAACTTATAAGAAAATTAGGAGGAATTCTCAACAGATTTGTAAATCAGGAGGGGAGCGTAGAAAACGTACAAATATTTTTTGCAATATTTGCCAGAAAAGCATATGCAACGAATGTTTTGAAAACTTCCATAACTCATTATAAGTTTTGAGACATATCTTGTCAAGAGTTCCAACGTTCACCTTAATCATGGACTCGGCAACCTCAAAAATATATGAAATGAGTACCCACACACATAGTTCGCAATGAAGATATGGCACTCGGATATGGCCATATTGCATCCGCCATTTTGCAAAATTGAAAACTGATCTAAGATTCGTGTTCAGCGATCTCAAAAACATAAGAAATGACTACTCACACATATAAATCGCAATGAAGTATGATTTTCGCCATATTGCATCCGCCATCTTGAATCAGTTGAAGAATAGAATTAATCATTATTTATCCTTCGAGTAACCAAACTCTGTCAATTCAATTGTCCCTGACAGCTCTGGACAAAATTTTTCGAAGTTTTTCACGGTAAAAAGCTCATAGTCGATGAAAAAATGTTTGTCAACTTTGAGCCGCCATATTTAATTATCAGTTGATAATTCCAAAATTATGACTCCAGATCCTGAAAGATCAGGTTTTTTTACGTGGGAAAGAATATTTTATTATTAGCTTTCATGTGATTTTATCACTTTTCTGAGCCAAAAACCAATCGACTATAAAATGTCCGCTTGGGAAGTAATGAGTTAAATAAGTTAAATGTATCGCTGAAAATGTGATTGCTGATTCATCTGACGTTTTCGCATATTTTCACATTACAGTATTCGCCGACATGTGGCAGTGGCTCATGACCGACGTGACGACAGTGGCGAAAGATGTCCTAGAGCTCACTCAAAACCGGCCGGAAAAGCAAGTTTACATGTCCTTACCGCGGCCAGGGGTACGTAAACGACGATTAACACGAAAACATTAACCCGATACATTTAAACTTAAATTGGTATGTTTCTAATATTTCTTCAACAAACTTTTTTATATAACAGTTTGGTATTCTTGTTTTGATAGCGAAATTTTGAGCTGGATATTTTTCTGCGTAAATATCGAGAAATCGATAATTTTCAAATTTATATCGCAAAATGACTCTCTCATCAGAGAAAGTCGCAACTTGGATTGCCCTATCCTTTCGAGTTCCAACGACACACGTGGCGTCCGAGTTACTTTCGGTCGGGTGACACTTGTATGTGTCAGACAATAGATTCCACACAATTGAACCGGCGATATGAGACACGACGAGCGAATGTCGGAACAACGGTTCGTTTCAGAAACATGGCACGACGAGCAAGCCGCTGAAGCCGGTGCGATTAGACAGCGAGGAGCAAGCGAAGATTGCCAAGGCGGGTCTCGAGATGAAGCTGATCACCTCGGAGATGGACGCCGAGACAGAGAAGTGGCAAGAAAGCGGCAGCGCCCTGGAGGAGAACAACGACATTGTGAAGCGGGCAAAGAACATGTCCTCGATGGCGTTCTCCATGTACCAGTTCACGAGAGGCGAGGGCGCTCTCAAGACCACCCAGGACCTGTTCACCCAAGCTGAGTATTTCGCCGAGGAGGCGAACAGATTGTACAAAGTTGTGAGACAATTCAGTTATCAGGTACGTGCCGGCTAACACGCCGACGTAGATCGAAAAAGAAATGACACACATTTTTAATTGGACTGATGTTGATATATATTATATATATACATCACCCTCTTACTTACGATCATTCTTTTACCATTGTTTATTATTATACGGATTCTATATTGGACTTGATTCCGAGTTTCTTGATCCTTGCTATATTGGGAATCTTTTTACTTATACATTACGCTATTGAGTTTCGTTTTTTCGTAAGTCGCAACGTCGAAGCTGCATCGAGTCTGCGTCGACTTATTCGCTTACTCATTGAGTGCTACCTCAATTAACGTTATCAATAAAAATTCTCCGGTGGAGGTTAAGGGGATTAATCTCATTGTTGCATCGATGAGTCGTGCAACCAGAACGTATGTAGAAATACCACAACGTATGTAGAAGGAAATGCGTGTACATTTCATTGACACTGTAATACGTTGGCAGTAGATATATGTCGTGTGATATGTCGATATTGCACCTGATCTTAATTGGAAGCTATCGAAGCTTCACTTTTACCCGAAAGTTTTGCCAAAAGACGCAAAGAAAAGGCAAATTGTTAAGATTTAGTAAATTTTTCCTAGCCGATAGAGAGAACTATGAGAGAGAAGGAGAAAGAGAAAGAGAAAGAGGGAGAAAGAAAGGGAGTGAGAGGGGGAGAGAGAGAGAGAGCGAGAGAGAGAGAGAGAGAGAGAGAGAGAGGAGAAAGAGAGAGAGAGAGAGAGAGAGAGAGAGAGAGAGAAAGAAAGAGTAAGAAAGGAGGAAAGACCTAAAAACTTAGGAGATTTTGAATGAATTGAAATACGGAAGGCGTCGCGCTTGTATACATGTGAGAGTACCACTTAACGCTACCATAGACTAGAAGTAGCTTCGACACGCGTGATTAGCATTAGATATGTTCGAATTAACACGTTTGCTGCCCTTTCGACCCTCCTAGCTAGAGGCCGAACATATATATAGTCACCTGAAACCATTTTGATCTCTCTATACTCTTCTTAAGAGAAACAACAAAACGCTAACCTTGTAATATATTCTGTATTATACGACCCTTTTTCACCCTTGCTCTTGAATGCCTCCATCCAGGTAACTTTTTCTCTCTTTACTTTAGACCCTTTTGGACTAATAGAAATCACTTTTTCGCCTCTTATACGGACCTCATTCTCATTGTCGTGTACATATAACGCTCTCTCTGCGCCGTCATTGTTGTTGTTAAGTGTTGTCATTACATTGTACATACTATCTCTCTCTCTGTATATACATACGTATATATTGCTATGCTAACATCACGCACGTAGGGTCACCTACCGATCATCATGAATGACGTAGCAAATCGTTTTGTTTCGAGAAATGTGGACGAACGCAAAGGAGAAACCATTATCGGGAACAATCGTAAATGATAACAAAGTGCTCTAAAAACGATGATAATCAGAGAAAGACCATAGACCGATCACCCTATCAAACTGACGTGACAACTTATTGCATATTCATACGAGAATCACGTTCGCAACAGCAAGTAATAGTCAAAACTCGCGTTGAGAACTTGGAACTGTTGTTTTCGCTCGTGACACTTCGCTGCAAGACGTGATTCCCGATGTAATATAATCCAACTGCTATTCGACGGAAACATAGAACGTGTGTTACTTTGGCGCATCGCATCACTTGAATTGTCATAATGAACATTCACGATTTTGTTAGCGGATCTATTTTGTGTACATACATTTACGACTCTTTTGTGTACGATTAGTAAGGTGTGTTTTAGATGCTACGGGAATGCTTCCGTCTATGGACGACGTCTATGTGCATTGTGGTCCCTCTCCTTCCACTATCTGGGGCATGAGTATTATGTCTCAAAGTTTATGCCAGCTTCCGACATTGCGTTCTGTTAAACGACGCTTTTCTATTCACTGAATGCCTGTCTGAGAGCCAGGTTTCGCGATATCTTACCGTGAGATCGAAGGGATTTTAAAAAAAACTAAAACCTAAATGATAACAATCCTGGTAAATGTAAAAATCCGAAAGACTCATTCGTCTTTTCTCAAACGTCGATGCTTATACGCTCGAGCGTTGATAAAACGTACCTCATAAATAATCAAAATCAATGCGAAGGAAGCTCGCAAAAACGACAAGGTCTGTACTATTTCACTGCCACTTCACACAAGTCACTCTGATATCTCTATCTCGAGCAACTTTTACATTCTGTTGAAAGTTTTGCATTGTGTTCTACTAGGACAGATAGACGATCTTTCAGTTAACTTCTTAGATGCAAACTTCTGAGTATACCTACGATACGTATACTACAAAGTGTTTATTATTAGCCATTCAATAAACTGCAAACAATAGAATCAGGCATTGCTTTACAGAGTCTCGAAGAAATGCGCTAAATATAAACAGTAGTGGTATCGCAAGGTAAACATGTTCATAAATTCTCAACGATTTTATTAATACATAATTCCGCCTTGTTTATTGTTTATTTCACAACAATATCGCAAGTATATATATTATTGCAAGGGTAGATTTAATGGCAAGTGTTGCAAACTTTTTACAAATTTATATCTTACCGATATGAATACATATGAATATTTCAACACGACAATTACTATCAATGGAATAATTTTTTGCTGTGTTAGTAAGTAAAAGAAAAAAAAAAACAAGACAATTTGGAATATTTTTTTATATATATATTTACTTTCTGTAATCATATTCTTAAAAAGAAAATAATATTAGCTATTGTACATTATGTTAAAATTATACTCGATAATCAAAACCAATCAAATCGAATACGTATTCGATAATTCATACGCGTTGCTAGCAAGTGCCATTGTTGAATCGCTGAGAATTAAGCACGAGCGAGTTTGCCTTGCGACACGAACGAAGACCTAAGTTTGTGTACGATGTTACATGGGCGCAGGTACCAGGTGGGCCGCACAAGAAAGAACTGCTGGAAAACCTGGACCGAGTGCCAACCTACGTCCAGCAGCTCCAATTTACCGTGAAGAACCCCACCGTCGGCAAGGCCGCCACATTCACGAAAGTCGACAACGTCATACAAGAAACGAAAAATCTCATGAATGTGATCTCGAAGGTGGTCACAACGTGCTTCGTCTGCGCCACAAAGGTGAGCCGCGGGCATACGCGATATCCCCGATCGATCTATTTATCAAGTAGTCAAAGACGCACGTTTGCGCACATTTCCTTTATGACTGAGTTCGTTTGTATCGGATGTATTTTTGCACTACTATCGATAAGAATCACTCGCGAATGGTACAATAATACTTTCATTCATTCTCATGGAACTTTGATCTCGTGTCTCTCATGAAGCATCTGCGAATACGACAATTTCTATACTTGCAGGTAATTTTTGCCTTCTCGAATCATTTAACGATACGAACTGAGAAATCGTACTTGAGAATTTTTCGTGACAAATTATATTAACACGAATTGAGAAAGAGAAAGAGAAAGGAGTGATGGAAGTCGTCTATTGATCCTGTGCGAGTAGTCGTTACGCTAGACCATTTGCCATCACCGGCGATCGAGTATTAAGATCAATGTCTCAATTAGTGACCAAGTAACTTTAAAATAAATAAATAAAATAAATTAATAATATGCGCGTTAAGTTGGTGAAGTTTATTTTGTTCGAAAATGTGAACATTTAATTGTGAGATTAATTGTGTTATATTTGTCTAATCTGTGAAAAGATTTTAATTTATTTATAATATTTTCTCAGAAATGACTGTGATGTCATTTAATAACATGACAACTTAATTTTGAAAAACTTACAAAATATAACTGCATAAATCTAGAAAATAAACATCTAATTTCAACTACAAATCTCCAAGTTAATATCAACTATCAACTTTTAAGATGTCGACAAGTAACCATTCGAGATGTCACTGTCACCGCCACTTTTGTAATTAAGATGCTCCAATATTTACCATGATTTTTAATTTTATTTTATTCGAAACTTGCTATTGATAATATATTATATAAATATAACATAAATCTAAGTGTAATAAAAATTTTAGACATAATATAAATTAGGTATTAAATTAGAAATTAGATGTGATATCAACATATAAATTAGATGTAAGATTTAAAACTCATGATTAGAGAATAAATATGAAGATGATTGATTAAGGAAAAGTGTCATTGTCAGAAACTGAAACACTGTCACTAATTGGAACATTCACCTTATATCCGCTCTCTGTCATTCGGTAGTGATCTCGTGATCACTAAGAGATGATGCCCTACGAGCTTGCGTATTCTTCCAAAAGTTGCGAGACCAGAACGTGTTCGCGGTCAAATATTCGCACAGGTTCGCACGATCGACGCGACGCCGAGACAGACGTGTTAAAGACTAAAATTCGAATATACATCTGTCCTTCCGTTTATTCACCGCCTAGCACAATCTCGTGATGCCGCAATACGTGGAGCTCAGCCCGACGACGTTGCCTGGCCAGGCCGAAGAGGATTGTTTGTACCCGATTAGCCCGCAATTGTTGCCCTCCACGAGTCCCTACGTGCAACCCCATCCGCTCACGTCCGCGCAATTTCATAGTATTCTGAAACCGCCTAGCCTGAATCTACCTTCCTTCAACTACGCCACCCTGCCGAACCCGGCGACCACCGCCAACGCGGCGTCCCGGAATTCCGCCTCCTTTATACACCCATCCGTCCTACCGTTCACGACGTCCGGGCCGCCTCAACCGCAACCGTACTGCCTGCAGAATCTGCAGCTCCTGCAGCTGCAGCTGCACCACGCACAGCTGCAGCACTTAAGACACGCAACGCTACCGAGATAATACAGCCACCCTCGTAATGTGTCGTGCCGTGTCGCACACACGTGGCATGTGTCATCGTCGAATATGTATCACGCGCACGCACACGTCGAGAACACTACACGTTCTTTCGTACAGGTTCGACCTTGGTTTCGTTTCAGCTTTTCCGTTGCTTCTTCGTAATTCCCACCCTTGATTCGCGTCACGCATGGCGGGTTGAATCGTCGAGTCGTTATCTCGGTGACGATTAACGACGCACTATATTTCTAAGTCTCCATGAGAAAAAAGTGTTTGGTACTTGTGACTATAATTGAAGTAATTATGGCTAGGAAAAGCTTTCTCTTTAGTAAGTGCTACTAGACACAGGGAAAAGTTTATAAAATAATAATCTTACAAAAAAATATATTACAATAAAAAATATATTTTTATAAAAGAAATTTATGTATGTATTTAAAATAATTTATATATGATCATATTTTTGCATATTTATGACACAAGATTTACATAAAAAAATTTTATATAAAATAATAAAAATTATACTGTAGAACTTTGTAATTCGAGAACACATTGATATTCTGTCTCAACTTTCTATTCTTCCTATTTGATATGTGTTTTCTAAATTTTAGAAATTAAAGTCGATCTCTAAAATGTTTCTATTTCTCAACAAGATAAACTCTACTGATAGTCTATTTTTGCATTACCAGAAAATATGGTAAAATTGAAAAGAATTTATGTGAAAAAAAAACTATATATACGAGTATAATATTTCTGTTATTACTTTTTTATTATAACAGAAAATTATAATTGTCGAAAATAATTATCATTTCTGTGAGATTAATCATTACTTTTTCTCTCTTCTGTAACGAAAAGCAATTCCACCGAAATTACGACCATACGATTTTCCGTCTTATAGCTTCTGGCTTTTTCGAGCGGCTTATTACTATTATAATGTAGGCCTTACTGAGTTGGCATAGGCTTCCTACAGATTTTTAATTTTCTTCTGGACATAACACATGCAAAGAGTTCGCTTTCACATAACGCAACGTGATACCATCGTGACGAAACGTACCCATGAGAACACAATCGTGCGTAACAATAATCGACTGAAATTAATTCATTTTCAGCTACCTTTGCAGGAATGGCTACGATATATTTCGTAATAAATTCTAATATTTCTTTCCAACAAACCTTTAAATACTCTGACAAAAAAAATAAGTGTATGCATCTTGGTCGAATAAGAAACTAGGAAAAATTCTCACGTTCCTCGTTCGGCGATAAAACAACAAAATATCGCCATTGGACAATTTTATAGAATCAAGTAATTATACAAAGTGTTCGGGATCTTTTGGAAACGAAAAATTGTGAAGATTAATCAGATCAAATTGAGATGAAAAGTCAAGTATCATTTTGCAAAAATTGCAATAGTTATTAAGTTATTAATGATTGAAAATGACCACATCTAGAGAGATCGTCCTTTATCTTAATTGATAACTTAATTGAAAGTTTGCTTATTTATCTGCAAAATGACAAAGGATTTTTTTATTCAGAATGATCTAATCTACAATTATATGACGGCTATTGTGCCTAGCGACAGGTTTAAGATTCAGGGTCCAAAGTCCAATATACTCATATCGCTAGACACAACAGCCGTCATGTAATTGTAGATTAGGTCATTCTAAACAAGAAAGTCCTTTATTATTTTGCAAATAAGTACGCAAATGTTCAAATTATCAATTAAAAAAGCTTCTAGATGTGATCATTTTCAATCATTAATAACTTAATAACTATTGCGATTTTTACAAAATAGTACTTGACTTTTTTTCTCAATTTGATCTGTTTAATCTTCACAATTTCCAAAAAATTCCGGACACCCTATATATACATATTCAATTATATATATATATATATATATATAAGTTATATGATATATTATATGTTATAAATAATATATAATATAATATATATTATATATTATTATTATAATTTATATATTATTTATATATTATAATTATTTTATTATATTACTTTATTACAAATTACAATAAGCAACTTGTTGCGCATATTTGTCAGAGTATATGTGCGATTTTTTTACAACTAAATCACAAACAAACTCGCCACGTATGACGGCAAGAGTGTACTCCTCCACAGCACCTTCTCAAGAACATTTCTAATAATTTGAACGCTAAAAGACACTTGAAAACACCTCTCCGAGCGTAACACTAGCCTCATCGCGGAAAAATTTGGAAGAAGCGGAGAGTCGTCAGAGAGTCGGAAGCGAGAACACGTTAGCCTTCCGCGCTGCGTCTTCGCACGACTCTCTCGACCTCAGCAGCTTCCGACCAAACTTTCATCCTCATGACAGACCCGCGAGGCCCCGTGCAAGGGCCGGCATCGTGTTACGGTACAATAACTCTCTGATCTTCCGCATCTTTTCAGTACAACCTGGATTTCCGAGGTCTGTCGGCGCGTGGGGCCGGCGGCTCGCCGTACAGGGGCGGAGATGGTGCGGGAGCTGACGGCGACGGTGGCGGAGTTGGCGTCGACGGCAGCAAGACGGGCTCCGCCCCCGGCAGCGACCCGTCCGTCTGACAGTTTGGGATGGCCCGACGGGCCAAGGGGGACGCTCGCCGCACCCGGGTTTCCTTTCTGCTTTTCTAGGGAGAACCTCGCCTGCCCCAGCTACAACACACGTACACGTCGACCGCGCGAGACTGCCGTCCGAGGAGTCCCGCGACGGTCGTCGGGGACATGCGGTGCTCGAAGGTGCCTCACCTGGCCGGGATATGCTCGCTGCCATCGGCGACATATTGCGTTGCATAACGGTATTCGGAAGCTATGGGTGAAAGGTAGTCGAAAGCGTTCCTCTGGACGCCCTCTGATGACGATTGATGATTGATTGATCGCGGTACACGAAGAAACTTGATTCTCATCGACGTTCGGCGATGATGAAGCTTCAGTTCGACACTTTCGTGAGAGTTCGAGTGTAGAACGAGCGATCGCGAGAGCGTCGATCGTGCGAAAAGGTGGCACCCTGGTGGAAACGTCGGGAAAGATGCTCCGATCACGGGACGGTGCTCGTGACGGCGACATTTCGGCCAGGGGAGAATCGTAATTAGTTCCGAGTAGTTGTTGGCATTCAGTCGAACGACTCACGATACGAGAGAGCTGGAGGTGCGAAGAATATCGCAACTATTCGGTGCGCTTCGACAATCGCTCGACGATACGCTGATACGCAGAGACATGCATGGTTTTGACGTCGACGTGTACGTTCCGTGTGGGATCGCCGCTCAGACCGTATTAATACTCATGACTTGAAACTTGTGTCTCATGTAAGATAGCATCAGACTTGAGCATAGAGTCAGATTTGCGAATTTTTCACATTTCGATCGTAGTACATGTGTTACATTATATCAATAATCTTCACTCAACTGATGAACTCGCATCGAATTCAAAATTAAAATCTGAGTGTCTCATACTTGAAATGAGTTTCAAGTAAAAAATATTATATACGGGTCTCAGGCTGATACCAACAATTGGTACTTGAAACTTGTCTCGCGTGAAATACTCAGGTCAATACTGAATTGAAGGAGTTAGACGAGAGCTTTTCATGTTTGAATCATAATATATGTGATATTACATTTGCAATCACGATTCGACTGAAAAGGCCACATTCAACTCTCAATCAAATCCGAGTATGTCACGTGAAATGCTCAGGTCTTAATTCACAATTGAGTTAGAGAAAGTCTCTCATAATTGAATCATGATACATGTGGCATTACATTTGTAGCGCCGTGATTCGACCGAAAGACTCGCATTTTGTTCTAAATTCAAATCTGACTGTCCCGCTTGAGACAAGTTCCAAGTAACAAGTATTGACACGGATCTCGGTTGCACGTACGGTTGCATATACTTCTTTCTTCCAATAATGAAAACGAAACAGAATAAAACAAAACAAGATCAGCCGCCGCTGGTAGCGAACAGGTCCCGGGCTCGCGTGTTTATCATCTGCGAAAGTAGATGAGCTTGGCAGCGCTTGCACGGTCGAGTTCCGACGCGCGTGGCGATCGAAGCGTGGAAAAGCGTGGAAATTAAGCTAAGCTTCATCGCGGAGCCAATTGCGAAAGTGGCAAACGAAACGCACGTCGTGTCTCTTCTCTCTCTCTCTCTCTCTCTCTCTCTCTCTCTCTCCTCTCTCTCTCTCTCTCTCTCTCTTCTCTCTCTCTCTCTCTCTCTCTCTCTCTCTCTCTCTCTCTCTCTCTCTCTCTCTCTTCTCTCTCTCTCCTCTCTCTCTCTCTCTCTCTCTCTCCGTATGTGTATATGTGTATTGTTACCGTTCGCGAAAGTCCATATTCCTCTTAATCGCATGCTTTGCCCACGCTCTGATCGTTGGCGGTACACCAGTCGACGATTCGCCGAATGTACGGGACGAGCGATCGGCCGATGCAATTCAGACGTCTGCATCTGCAATCGCGCGGCTAAATTACACTGTTATCTTTCTCCCTACGAACATTTACCCGAAACGTTTCTCAAAATGAGGTCATTACGCGCCGCGGTGTTGCATTTCATTGCTGATGTTGCCGCCGGCGCTGCTACTGCTGATGTTGCCGCTGCGCTAATAGCAGTTTCACTTTCGTGCTATCACACTTGTGATCTCAATTACGGCGGATCCCGTAATTTACGTCGGTTCGATGAGTTTCACGATTAAACTTCAACTTCTATACGGTCGTGGGGGGCTACGTCAGCCCGTCGACTTGTCTGCCAAGTTCGCCACGACGTCGAGCTAAAGTCGCAAACGTCACACATACGTACGCATATTACGCATATGTGTATGTGTATGCGTGTGCATGTGTACGTGCGTACAAAACGGTATCCTCGCGAAACACTTGGAATTTGTCACGTTATCCCGCGAGAACGCAGCGTAGATACACTCCCTCGCCGACGTATGAGTGTACGTATACGTCTGGCTGCGCACAAAACAAATCGTTCTTCCAATTCGAGAAGTTGGTGCAACGACAATAATTAACAATGTCGATCGCAGTGCCTTTTAGGTGTGAGAAAACGTTGAAATTTCGCCGAGGCCCAGCACCCTCAGCGCTTCCGTGTTACGCCAACTTCGGTCAACCAGATTCCGCAGACGAGCGCGTTGCTATTACACCGCGCGCTAAAAGCTCGAAAATCACGCACGCGCGCATGCATTCACGTATACACTTGTGTGACTTTGGCTCGCGACCGTTGACCCTTTAACACCAGGCATGCCGGAGTAGCGTGGCGGAGCGGTGGTGGGGCAAGAGTAATTGAGAGAAATGTGAGATTTTTGTAAAAATTATTTTTCATTATTTGCGACTGAACACGCCAAACCCGAAGCACAGATGAAATGCTCTGGTGATGGCTTTTGGACCAAAGACGTTCCACGAGCGCAGCGAGATTGTCGACTTCAGGATGGCGATCATGGCGGACTTTCTCCCAAGAAACGGAACCGCGAAGAAAGTTTCACGTGAATTCGACGACTTTAGCGATCACGTTTGCCTTTGGAACAATGAAACTGCGAGAAACTTCTCGCGTTTCCGTTCTCAGGAAAAAGTTTTACGCTATGGCCGCCTGGAGTCGAGCCCGCAGTTAAAGGATTAAGGCCCGAAACATGCCCGGCGAATACGCCATGCGAGAGCACAAGTTCTCACGCGACTCGGAAGTCGAATCGACGAAAAGACTGCCCTTCTCAAGCAGCGTCTCTCGATCTTGAAGAAGCCACGCGTTAATGGACGAGGCTTTTCGCTGTTTTATGTTGCCCGTCGCATTCGACTAATTAGAGAAATTTGAACGATGACAGCCGGAAACATTCGTACACTCGACTCCGCACCCTGTGTAAGAGACTCTCTCGCTACGCTCGCTTACACAGCCCACCATTCCTCATATTCCTCGGCACGATGCTGCGGCAGAATTTCAATAAACGCAACACGTTTGTTGTAATGATAACAAAGTAGGAAAGAATTTTGCTGGAAGATATTGACACTCGTATGTCGAGAAAGTACTATTCTGGTCCGGCTCTAGGATGTATTCATATTATTCAAGACACTTGATGAAGGCAGTATGGGAGATTATTTTACGTGTGTTAGAAATTCTCATACATTATACAGTTGAAACAATACTAGAACAAATCATTAATTATTATTGCAATATATAAATTTATACTTCGGTATGAATACATCCCAGTTACGCGATACAGTACATGGCACATTGTTCAATAAGAATTTTTTTCATGCAGTCGAGTGTATAAAGGAAGTGTGTAAAAAAAGGAATCAAATCAACAGTTATCGAGGTTCTGTCGTATCTCTAAGATAGATACTTATCGGACTTCGAAGTACTGACCTCTCAATTAGGAATCGTTTTGGGCAAAAAAAGAAAAGAAGAAAGGAAAACGAAAAGTCACTTTTACACAGCAAACTGTAGTGTTTACGAAATGATAAGGATTACGTTGATAGTTCAATCGAGCCTCCGCAGAGGTAGAAAAGATAAATACTCATGGGGTAGGAGATGGCCCATAGAAGGTGACCTGGGGGCGGCATCAGGGCGGTCAGGGACGTACTTTGTGGCAAGGACATACATTCAGTTACCACCCGAGATCACGCGCTACGAGATCAAGCGCAGCCTAATTGATCGCACGACGGAATGCCCGATTTGACGACGCGGGACGAATTTATCCGTTCGTGAAAAGCGCGAGCTAAGCTGAAGTCGATCAAATCGGGCCTCTCTGACGATCGTTGATTCGGTTATCAAAGTTATAATCACGAATCTCCGACGCGAGAGAGATGCCACAAAGAGGAGCGGGCGCCGCGACAACGACTGCGACGCCATCTGTGATCGTCACTAATAAACGCGCAAAGTAGCAAACGGCTGTATTCGGAAAGTGCAACGGTTGTGCAATCGTTGAGTGATTTTTGCAGCTCTGATCGATACCTCTTATTGAGGTACATTTTTAGATCCATGATGGATCCAGAAAAATATTTCATGCGGAAAGAAAACATCAGTTGATGTAACTGAATAGAGAGACCAGACGAAAGTTCGGAAACGAAAAATAATGCCGCGAATGAAAATATCCGTTTGAACATTCAGCTGTATTAAAACTCGGTTGAAATAACTGAGCAATCGACTGAGTCTTGCTGTTCCTATAACCGAGCCTTCCACTTGGTCCCTGTTCTTTTCAGGCAGCAGAAAATTCAATTACATTAACGGAATTGTTTTTGCCGCGCAATGACAATGCTCACTCACAACCGTTGTGCGTTTTGAACGTGGTCATTGTCTTCGAGCGAGAGATTTTTTTGTCAACACGTCGATTGATTTCTCCGATTTGGCGGATCGGTCGTCACATTAACACATGAACAAACGGCAAAGACGGACGCTCAAGCGCCAGTAGCGGCACAAAGGAGTCAAATCAATCTCTCTAAATTTCTTGAAGAGAAACTTCACAAACGAACAACCAACAATTAATATGGAACAATAGTGAGAAGATCATCATTCGGAATCGTAAAAACAAATGTTGCTAAAGTTCAAATAGATTTCTTAGAATGGATCTTGATTTCGTATGAATCAACACATACGAATAAATGCTTCAGTCGACTAAAGTAAATGTATCCCTGTGAAAGAACAGAGAGATTCACTCTTTAATCGTAAGTGAAAACATTCACTCGACGATTCGACGATGTGGAGGACCCACATTGCGAAACACACGAGTGAAAAGTCACTGAAGTTCGAGTGACTCCGCTGTCATTCTACTTCTCGAAGTGAAATTCCGCTCCAAGAAATTTAGAAAGTACCTTTTGTATTCGCAGCTCACCCTTGAACCGTAACGCGCGCTCCAGAGCAATTTCTAGCACGCGCGCGCGAAACGATGAGATTCAGTCGTGTCGCGAATTGAAAGAAAAGAAAACCAATCGCGGTCTAATAGCAGCCCTTGAGTCTCCTTCGTGCGCGCGCCCTGTCGAGTACAACGGCACCGGCAATGTCTCCTTGCGGAGGATCGCTCGAAATTGCGCGGCGGATTGTCATCCGTCGGCGATGAACACGATTTCACGATCACGATCACGGTGCTAACGTACGTAGACACTCGTCACGATTTCTTCTTCTTCGTTCACGCGCCGGCGCGACAGACGTGAGGAGATTTGTCGCACAAGCGATTCCCGTGATCCTCCGGACACGGTCTGAAATGTTCAACGGCGCGTTTCGCGCGACTCGACGCATGACGGAACGCACTATTAGGTACCCTTTCGCGCTTCGACGGCACGCGAGGGGAGAAAAAGGAAAAACAGGCGAGATGAGGGCGTCCGGTCACGCGTCGATCGCTCGAGAGAACTGATCGCACCGCTGTAGCAAAGAGATACAAGTGTAAGCGATATCTAGTATTATTAATGTTAAAGGGACGTGGTCGACCGACGGCGAGCATCACGTCCGTGTACATACAACATTAATTAAATAAGCGTGTGGGAGGGGAGTGTATCGTGCACTTCGCGTACGACGTATCTAGCGAACGCGAGTGCACGGGAGACTCGTTCTCCCTGTGTGTGCGTGTAGGTGTGTTTGCGCGTGTATTTGTGTGTATCATACAGAGTTGGCATAAAAATGAGAAACAGAGAGACGCTCATGACGACGCGCGAGGCGAATGTCCGTCGCGATCGGTCCGACACGTCGAGTGCCACGCTGAATTCGAGTATGAGCATCCTCAGGCGCGAATTCTCCATCGCGATCGTACACGGAAATAGATCATTGCTTAACAATCACACGAGTTACATCAGAGTTATGTCATGTATGCCTTAACATCGTCGCTAGGGCCATTGGTGCGATTTTCGATCTCGCATGTCACACGATTTATGAAATGGGAAATCGCAAAAATTCTGGTAAATTGCACTTACATTGACCTGCGCTTGAGGAGATCCGTCTCACACAGAGCACTGATGAGTAAATGATACTTTAATAATAATAATCATAAGTATATGTTAAGGCAATAAAGGTTATTCTTTTACATAACGCCTGGTGTACACTCGACTAAAGTTAAATACTACTAAGACTAAGGCTAAATACTCGATTAAGGTTAAATACTTGGTGAAGTCATTCCTAATTGAATAAGCAAAACCGTCATCCGGATGTAACGGTAACGTGGCGCTCGAGATGTGTTGATACTGAAA